TTTTATCATACATGGTTTTCTTTCTCCGTCTCTCTGACACAGTTTCCACAGGAATCTGGTTGCTTGGTAACCGACTGCAGTCCGAGGATTCCAGAGAAGCGTCCGCAGAGAGAACAAGAGAGGAGAGTTAAGGACAGGAAGGTGGAGCGTAATGTGTCTTTGTCTGTGTTTTTAACCACTGTGTTTACATTTTTCTTTGATTATTTCCTCTGGTTTTTTTTTCACATTCCCCCTCCTCTCCATTCTCCCACTCCCACTCTCTTTTTATCCACTAGTCTCACACTGTATATTGTCAAGGGAGAGGGGGGGAAAAAAGACCACCTCCCTCTCATTTCCCTTCTCTTTCCCTCGTATTTTCCCCTCATCCATGTTAAGTACATATTACAAATACACGCCATGTAATTCCACTGTAATCCATGACAAGCGATTGGGTTATACTGTATTTACTTACATCATATACGCCAATGAAACATTATGTATTCTCCTTTTAATCCTGTTAAACTTCACAGGGATCATTTATCACAAACACATCAGCACTGATTAGGCTGAATTGTTCCTATAACAAATGCCACAAAGGCCGGTCAGTTGGTAATGGATTGAAAATGAGCTCCCGCTACAGTCGGCAGTGTTTTAGTTCTCTGGTCAAGTGTTTGTTTGAGAGCTTCATGGCTCCTCAGAGGGCCATAGTGCTGACCCTACAGTATAGGTTTTTATTTATTTTTTTTTTTATAACTGCTTCAGCGTGTTTTATAGATCAGTCCTGCTGACTGCCTCAATGATGCCTCGAGTTTCACCGGCAAATATGTGCTCGAGGCAGAGCCAGCGCGAGTAGACTGGAGCAAAACTGCATCTGGGAAAGTGATTTGGACTGTATATTGAGGACTACAGCAAAACCTATTTGAAGTGTGGTCCAGGGGCCAAATCAAGCTCATGCAGACTTGACTCCTGCTTTCTGGCAAATAGATGTGAAAAATATGTTTTAAGTGAATAAATTATTTTAACGGGAGACAATACCTCTCACACTGTAGAGGAAGCCATAACATCCCATAATGTGTATATAAAAGCTTGAAATTATGAGTTTATGAGTAATAGTACAACAGCAGAAAATCTAACAATGTATCTGTCAAGGTATAACTTTCAGGTATTTTTGTGACTTACAAAACTGTGTAAAAAGTAACAGCCATGTAGTGTGTCGAAGTTTATAACACTGGAAAAGCAGTCAAAAGGAAGCAATTCAGACAGAGGCTGAATGGTGCTTGGAGGAGGAATTTCATGTGTGCCAGATCCAGATGAACAGTTTTTTAAAGCCGCAAATCAAACAAAGTAACTCGATAGGTGCCCCAGACTGACATCATGAAAGATAAAATGATTTTACTTCAATTTTTTAAGTAAAAACATGTGGTGTTCTTGGAATAACAGTCTATATGTTTTCTTAGATTAATAATAGATATTAAATACACAAAAAGAGGCAAACTTGTGCAATTCTCTCGTCTGCCTCACACAATAAAAAGCCTGGTGAGTATTCTACACACAGACCCCATTACAGAAACCAAACCAAAAGGTCAAAGCCCATTGGTTGTATTTCTCTCTTCCACCAGATGGCCATGTGCCCTGCTCTGCATGGCAGCATATGGACAACTGGACACGAACCAAGGCGTGAGCCTCCCGACACACATGCAAACACACACTCAGGCACACACACTTCATGATGTACATTTAAATGAACATACATAAAGACAAGCAATTATCATCCATAAGGTTAATAAGGCATCTCTCACGCAAAAACGCACACCATATGGAGCCATTAGAATAATCAAGCAAACACACCAGGTGTCCAAACACTAACACACACACACACACACTTTTACACAACATCAAAAAATTGTGACAATCTCTGTGGGAAACATGTTGGAATCATGTGTTGCATCTGATACGCATGCATCCTGTGTATCTACGCAAAAACCTGTGTGTCCACTGGTGAGTATATGTGTGTGTGTGTGGCCATGCATGTGAATGTGTGGCCATGTGTGAGTGGTGGATCTTGGCAGCCGTCTCTATGAGCTCACCTGATTTACTAGCAGGATTCAGCCTCTAATGGCTGAGCACATTAGCTCTACTGGTTACTGTTATATAAGCCTCTACTTCAGGTTTCTTCTTGTCTCTGTCTCTGCTGTATTAAATCAGAAGATTATCACAGTGGAACATTACACAGAAAAAAAACAAAATCTGTATTTGCCTCATGTTTGGCATTAAGCCATTCCTTTCATCCAAAGTGACTGAAACTAAGAAGCATGAGGACCAGTGTGTTTGTTCTTTCAGTTCTTTTATTCTACTCTGTTTAGTAAGTGAAGTAATTTAAAAGACTTTGGGTTGACAGAGAGTTGATTGGAAAACAAGCAAAACAGGAAAAGCTTGACATCAGCTTTGCTTCAGTCAGGACCACTTTAGTAAAAAGAAATAGTTATTGGCATACAGAAACGTGTACTTGGCGTGAGTTCTCTGTATAAGTGTCCACTGCCCTTCTATGTGTGTACATACAAGGCAGGGAGAGCAGCAGCAAAGAGTGCCTGGTAACCAAGGAGCAGATTCAACCCCTCATTTTTTAATTATGCAGTAAATGTATCATTAACTGTCCCAATAAATTCAGGGGCAACTTTTGTAGTTGACTTAGAGCTTGAAGTTATATCTTGAATCCCTAGCTCTACACTGTGAGCTATAACATGTCAAAACTACTTGATGTCCTTCTGTTTGGTGCAAGAAGCATCAACTTCATTTGGATCTCCATGAGCCTCCACAGCCCTCACTGTGATTATAATGTGTAATAGATCTCATCCATCCCAAGGACGTGGCCTACTAGCTTAAATATATAATAATAATAATAATAATAATTATTATTATTATTATTATTATTATTATTATTTATTTATTCATTTATTTAATACAAAGTGGCAGACTGAAACAGCTCGTTGCCTGTAGGTCTAAACTACTGGCACATTGAGCACCTTTCTCTCCTTCTCCATCCCTCTCTCTATGTCACTAACTCTGAACCGTCATGTCCCATTAGAGTCTCCCTTTATGTTCTCTCTAAACCAAATGCAGTCTCAGGAGATGACTCTTTTCTTCTTTTACCCTCTTTTCAGTGTTATGTCATTTGTGTTACATATTGTTTGGTTGGTTTTACATTGTGTGGTGCTGTGGTTTTTGTATCAAGAACAGGGTTTAGTAATATATATCTTCTTTGTTGTTCAAGAAGTTAAAACTCATTAAGATGTACTTTCCAAAAGACAACTAAAGAATGAAAAAGTGATGTTTTCTTTGCATGCCTGGTCTATTTCCACAACACTCTAGCAGGCATGTAGTACAACTCAGGACCTCTGCAACACTGACTCATGCATCTGAAACTGTGAAATTGCAAAAACAAGAGTACTTCACTGAACTAAACTGAGCACGATCAGAAACAAATTGATATCAGATGGTCAATTTCTAAGCAGATGTTGGGTAAAATTTCAATTTGCAACACAAATTAAACTAAATGAAGTAAGCCCAACTGATCATTCAAGTACAAATGAAGCCAGGATCTCACAGTGCAATATGGAGGTCAGGCAATTGCTGCATAAGCATTACATAAAGATGTTGAGCACTGGCCATTAAAAGCACAATCACAGTCTCGAACCATATATTTAGCTCTGATAGTCATTGTTATTTTCTATGTGCTGCAGTTGAGTCATAGCTGAAAATATCTCCCATCAGTTTGACAAGACAAGTGTGTCATTGCAGGGAAACAATATGCAACCACTGAACAATATCTGTGATTGTGTGTGTGAGTGTGTGTGTTTGCAGGCTGCATAGGATAGAAGTCCGCAGGCTTAATGGGGTCTCTCCTTATCAATAAAACAATGAGAAGGTTAACACAGCAGAAAAAAAAAGCTTGGAGCAACAAAAAGATGACATTTGTTTTCCTCTCGAAAAAACTTTTTTTGTCAAGCTTTTCAGTTTTTCTTTGAGAACAGAGAGAAGGAGGCAGTGCTCCAGGACAAGAACCCAGACATAGATGGGGAGGAGAGGAAAAACAAGGTGGTGTGCTTAAAGGAAGTATTTTTAGGTTTCAATATTTGCCTTGTCAGTCACATGTACGTGAAAAAACACACTTTGGACCCAAATGCAGTCAAAGACAAAATAGACAAAGTAGATGGATTGGGAAACTAACAGCACAAGTAAAGACTAACCTTTTATCTGTCACTGAGGCACTTGAACACACAGTGGACCCAAATGCAGGCGAATAAAAACAGAAGGGGAGTGAGACAGTCGTGGATTAACATAATGACAGGAAATTAATAAGTGTAACCTAACAGTGGGATTTTTTGAGGTTTCAACGTTGCCTTTTCAATCACAAATACACAAAAACACAGTCACCCCAAATGCAGACAAAGACCATTTGATAGGATATTAAAGTTGGGTGGATTGAAACACCAACAGACAAACAGAAGAGTGATCAAAAGGTGGATGAAGGCTTTCAGTGATAGACCGACCTTTGAGGAATGCTCTTACACACAGTGGACCCAAATGCAGACAAAGGAAGGAAGACAGGGAGTTAAGAGACAGATTAAATTAAATTCTAACAAAAAAATCTGTAAGGTATCACCGAGGGGTGGACTGTTTTACTCCCTTATCCATAGCCATACATCAAAATGCACAGATGACCCAAATGCAGGCAAAGGCAAAGAGAGAGAGGCTCAAAGATGGTTTTAAAGTTAAAATACGAGCTGCAGAAACAAATAGTGTTACGAAAAGGTTTCAACATTTGGTCTGTAATCTACACACACACAAACACACAGAGAGGACGTCAGTGCAGACATGGACAAGAGGTGGTTGAATTTACACTGCTTACAGGAAAACAGTCCGAAGTAGCCAAAGGGTGGTTTTTGAGGTGATTACTGATTGCGTTGTTATTCACGCACACTTAAAAATCCCTCAAGTCCCTCAATGGTACCTACACACGCATGCTACGCAGGGTCCTAAATGTACACTGGAGCTCACACACAACCAACGAAGCGCTTTACGGCGAACTGCCCGCAGTCGCTGACAAGATAGCAGCCAAGAGACTCAAGCTTGCAGGACACTGTCACCGCCACCCTGAGCTGAGCACCCAGAAAGTCTTGCTATGGGAGCCAAAGCACGGCCACAGAAATAGAGGGCGGCCACGAACATCGTATGTGGATACCCTAAAGAAGGATACTGGAGCGAAGAGTGCCAGCGAGCTAGCTTCACTGATGAAGGATTGTGACGTTTGGCGCTACCATGTTCACTCTCGCCGCGTTGCGACCTAAGTCAAGTAAGTAAGTAAAAATCCACAGTGGTCTTGCTACCCACACACACACAAAAACAGATACAGTGAACCCAACTGCTGTCAATGACAAAGGAAAAGGGTATTACAGAGGGATGGACTGAAACACTAACAGGAAAACAGCATCTTGTAGCCAAAGGTTGGGTCTTAGGGCTTTAAGTGGTTGTCTCGTCTCGCAAACACACTCACTCCCTCACTCGCGCACTCTGCCCACTGTTTGGCGTGTTCTACTACATTTTCTGCTTATTTACTCCGAGCAGTAGAATACCTCCTCTTCACTGCACTCATCCCCGGCACAGCCAGCCTTGCACAAACATAAACAAACAAACAAACAAACACACACACATACATACACCACCAAAATCTGACATCCGGGCAGATTGGCGAATGTATCCTCGCTTTCCTTCATTTGGAACCCAAATCTACAACTCCTCACTTGAATGCAACAAACCATCTCTATTACACAGTGCCAGACAGAGACGCTATGATGGACCAAAACAAGACTCACAAAATGGAGATCAGAGACGTTCAAAGGCAAAAAAAAAAAAAAAAAAAAAAAAAAACATGACGGGAAAGGGTAATTGAATTTGTTTCCATATTTTCAGGTCATGTTACCATAGAAACCACATTTCCTTTTTGAACATCCTTCAGCATACAAACACACAGACTTTCTCTTTCTGCACAGCCCAAGGTTTAGCTCCCCTCATCCAGAGGGGGCCGTTGATCACAGTCCACAGGGAGCAGAGGAAGAAACATCTTGCCCCATAATTGTTATTTATTAGGTGCAATTAATGCAATTAAATAACGACCGCACTCCTGTATTTTCCCCCCTTGACTGCACTACTCACTGATTTTGATCAGCAACAGCCTCTCCTCTGAGAGCACTAGTCTTCATTAAAAGTATAATTGTGAATTCACTTATTTACTGTACAAGACAAATGTTGAGGCAAGGGTTTAACAATATATTTATAGTTTTTCTTTTTGGCAAAATCTTTTAAAAAGACATCTCTGTTGAAAGGAACAACAATAAACATGACTTTGGGTCTACCTGGGGCAGCAATAGTTTACTCAGTGGGGGCTTGAAGACCAGATCTTTTTATTATTCATCCAGATTTGTCAAATTATATGTGTTACTCTGTTGTAGTTTAATTCCATTTTACACACAATAACACAATAACACACGGTCAATTCTGCTTTATGAGTGTATTGATGGAGATATGAGTCTAAGTCAAAGTGCAGTCTTTTAACGTGAAAGAGCTCAGTAGGGAATGATCAAAGAAGGTTGAAGAGCTACATGTATTGAGGGTATATTGAACTATTCTGAATATTCAGGTTTAAACCCTTTGAAATTCATGACAACTCAAATCAGAATCTCTGGAGTTCACATATTAAATGTATTTATTCAGTCTGTGGCTCCTCTAGTTAAAGAGCACAGCCAAAAAAAAAAAAAGGGACTGCAGATATGAGTTTGATCAAGCGGTTTTAGCAGGGATGATGACCCTGTTTGTGGCCTCACTGTGACGTTCTGTCACGTCAAACACGGAGGTGGTGCAGGACTGTGCCACCTTGTCAAGGTTTTTAACGGCAGAGCCACTGCAGGAGAGTGTGGAGGATATTTTTATCATGTTTTATTTTAGCCTGAGACAGCGGGAGACCCTGGAAGGCTGGCCTTGGTGAGCCTTACCCTATAAAGGAAGGGGAAGTTTGTGAACACTTCCCATGAACACAGCAGTAAAAACAATTACTAGAGGAGTTCAATCTTTATCTTTTGTACTCTGAGGAACATATTAAAGTACATTCATTACATTTTCCTTTCAAATATGCATAGACTGAACTTCCTGTATTGTGGAAAATAATGCAGGATATATTGTAACCCTGATATTACATTCCAAACATGATTCTTACTTTATTTAATCTAAAGTTTCAGCAAAATTTTAACTCTGTGAAGGTTAATCAAGATCTCTAATGTCACTGAAATACCTTTAACAGATTTTGGGCTAGTTAAATTCTAAATTTGCAGAGTATTTCACAGTATATACTGACCCTTCCCCGCCATAATCTTTGATTTAATCCGCCTTCATGGTGGTACATGCTGTTATAGGAGCCTAACCTTAATGTTTTATTACAGGGGCTTTGAATCAAAGCTGCTCCTGCTGTTCTGGGATCCACTTTAAAACCAACCAGGACTGCAGAAAAGAAGCAGAGTCATGCCCCTGATCTGCTTCGGTAAAAAATTAATGTACCACCTCAGCTTTAAAAGTATTTCACTCTAAGCACAGACTCCACATTTCAACGGGCCAGGAGGGAAGAAATCAATTCACATCTCATTGTCCCGGAAAGGCTCACAGTAATCCTTCTGTGTTTATTGTAACTGTGGTGACATCTTTAAACATGAGACACACCTTGGGCAGGTAGCACTGGTTGCTATAGCGACCACTCTTTACTTTAATTCAGGGGCGAGTATTTACTAGCTTAATGGGATTCAAGGACAAAATTTAGGGAAGGGGTCCGGTCAGTTGAGATATGAGCTCATATTCAGAGTAGGAATTATAAACGCATTAAAACAACCACACAACAAGAGAGTGTACCAACAGTTAGCTATGCTTCATTTCCCATAATTCTTTGTGCTTGACAGAAAATAAGACCCATTCATGATCCCTCTTATATTGCTGATTTGAGTTTGTGCCCCCTGAATAGACTGATATTAAAAGACATTGTTTCTTGTCACTCAAAATCAATTAAGCTACCGTAAGACTATCATAAGTGACAGTGACAGCAGAGCTTACAATAGGTGGCTTTACATGACCACTTTTTACAACCAGATTTTCATCTCACAATTAATGTGGCCAAAAAAAAAGTTAAAAATCACAATTATGATGTAATAACAGTATTTAAAACACAAGCCCAGACACAGTCCAGATGTCCCTGACCTGATTTGCTCTGTAGTGGTAGTAGCCTCATAGGGTGATAAAGACAGGCTAGCCAGCTGGTTACTGAGTGTCCCTCTGCCACTGTGCCCCTTTTTTTGTCTTCTCTTCTGTGTAACAACCATAGACTGTATATACTATGGACAACTTGGTTCTGCCTTCCATCATTATATGAATTTGAATCCGAATTGCTCTTGGTGTTTCCAGGATTTTCTCCACTTCCTTGAACCACCACTTGCGCAGTAGTATCGTACGCTTTTGTCGGGAGAGTCACCGAGAGTAACTGTGATGACGTTTGGCTCAAACAGCGTATCCTCCGGGTGAGCAACGCAAGCTTCATCCACCCATAGTCTGTATCAAGTGTCAATCATATAAAACATGAGCCCCCTAATAACTTTTAAAAATGGAGCTGTACAGAATAAAAGAGGACTTGAACACATCAGTCTTACAGTAACTACATGTCAACTTCGCAAGCAGGGGGGAGAAACATTTATATTCTGTGTAATTAATTTCTAAAGTTTGTCCACAGTTCCATAGGGATTGCTGGAGGAGGCGAGATTTATGATATATACTGCAGCTTGTCACCAGAGGGTGCTGTTCTCACGGTGGCTTCACCCAGCGAGGAGGCAGACGGCGTCCTTTCTATATACAGTCTATGGTAACAACCAACATAAAGTACCACTAACACCTCCCTCTTGGCGATAATAAGTGTTTAGAAAACCAAAATAAGTATCTAATTACAGTAAATTTATTTTTTAATACAACACTGATATATTGTGACAGCCCTATATTTTCTAATGCCGTCTACCTTGAAGACAATACTAAAATATGTGTCTAAACACACTGTTGTGTAGAACAACATCATCCTTAACTTAGACCTTGATAATACAGATAAATGTCTTTACACATCAGCCAATCCCTGCGCAGACTCAGGCTTCAGATGACACCACCAGAGCAAGATGGCTTTAATAACCCAGATATTTTCACCTAACTTAATGAAAGGGAAACAAATACATTTGAGTACAATGATGCATCATCCATAATCACATACCAAACAAATATATATACTCTCAGCTACAGGATACAAGTTATGAGCACATAGCTCAATACAGTAACAGCCCCCTCTTGCATTCCCTTTTTCTATTGTCTCCTATTTCTTCAGTACTTCATATCATATATCCATCTCCTCACCCTATGCTCCCCCCCCCTGCTCTCCTCCACTCCGACATCAGAGCTAAACGAGGTAGGTAGTGTTTTCCTCCCGAGGGAGACGAGCGCAGTGACGCTTTAGAACGGCAAATAGAAAGTGACAATACATTCATTACTTATGCCCACATTCTTCCTTCCTCTCACTCCTACTCACACACACACACACACAATCATGGCACTAACACACTTACACACAGCCGTGCTCTCGTCTCCCTAAGGTGCATACAGTGAGGAGGTTTTCTCATCAAGGGCAGCAGGGAAATGAGGACCATTATACCGTGACTCCAAATCACTTCAGAGCAATCCTCTGCAATGCATAAGTGTCAATGCATACAATCCCTCAGTCAGATGAATACTCCTCCTTGTACGCAGCAACAAACGAACAATCAGACCCAGATTGGACACCATTTGTTGTTTTGTTGCACTAGTTTCTATGTGTAAGAGATCTAACTACGATCAGCCTGTGTGCTCGTTGGCTGCTACGCCTTTGGGTTTCAACTGGACTTCATCATGCACTCCAGTAAGTGTGAAATGAAAAACAACAGAGTCACTTTGGTATTGATACCGCTATCGGAGAATGCTTAAGATACCAGTTGGTTCTGATACCAGCAAGTATATCTTTTAGTGTAACTGTTAATTTATGGGCTCTGAATAAAATCAGCTCGAAATACCAAGTCTGTACAGCAAGTAGCTCTTTGCTGCTAATGGTTCTAATTAATTATCTTGAGACTACGTGAACAATAACAATGTAGTGCTAGCATTTGTTGCAGCTTGTTACGCCAATGTTTTTAGAGGACAACATCTATCATAGAGGGCTTGGAGCTAAGCTGCTGTTACTATTAGTCCA